GAAACAAAGGAGGAGGCAACAATGCTTGATAAGAAATGTACTCATTATCTTGCCCATGTAATTGTAACCCCTCTGTACAGTATTTTCACAATAAAAATTAAAAAAAGAAATGTATCATAAAAACAGAATGATATAACCTAGTAACTAAAATTAGACTGGATTAGGGAGGGGGTCGTGTGTCAGGAAAGACTGAGGTCTGAAGAGTTAGAGAATTATTCAGTAGGGAAGAAATTGGTGCCAGATAAGCAAAGGACCAGAAGGAAAGATCTGTAAAACTTATCAGAATTTTAATTTTTTTTTTTTGTTGTCTGTCACGGGGCCTGAACTCTCTGGGCCTGGGCACTGTCCCTCAGCTCTTCAGCTCAAGGTTAGTGCTCTACCAGTTGGGCCATAGCACCACTTCTGGTTTTTTCTGCTTATGTGGTACTGAGGAATTGAACCTAGGGCCTCATGCATGAAAGGCAAGTACTCTACCACTGAGCCACCTTCCCAGCCCCAGAATTTTAGTCTTTATTCTAAAAGAATTGAGAAGCTACTGAAAGGCATACAGAATAAAGATGGGAAATAAATGTAATGCTCAGATTTGCCTTTTAAAAATAGTACTCCCACTGACATTTAGGAGAGAACTGATCTTAATTTAGTCAGAATGAAGCCAGTGTAAAACCTATTTCATCAGTTTAACAGAGAAATTATGGTAGCCTAAATTAAGATTATTGATGGAAACAAAGTCAATGCTCATTATTCAAAGATTACACATTTCGGAGCTGGGAAGGTGGCTCAGTGGTAGAGCGCTTGCCTTGCATGCCTGAGGCCCTGGGTTCGATTCCTCAGCACCACATAAGCAAAAAGCCGGAAGTGGCACTGTGGCTCAAGTGGTAGAGCACAAGCCTTGAGCTGAAGAGCTGAGGGACAGCGCCCACGCCCAGAGTTCAGGCACCACGACCGGACCCCCCCCCAAAAAAAATTACGTATTTCCAAATTAGTCTTCTTGTTAGTACTTAACTTACTTTGTAAACCCAAATTAATATTCCTCTTTGCATAGTCATTTCTTGACAGTGAAAAGTTTGAGTCACACAACACACATGTTCTCAGCTGCAGTAGAACTCTGCCTCCCTAGTTTCAATTCTTACTGTAAACTTGTCTTCTCAAATTTAGTGCCTCATTTTTTAAGTTGTACTTTCTACTGCAGATTTTGGTGTTTAACATAGGCCCTATGCATAATACTGAAAAGCTGCTTAACATTTTTCTAAGCACAAGAAGGCTGTAATGTGCTTTCTGAAAAAAAATGTTTATCTTCATTTAGACAGGAGTTATAGTGCTATGGACCCAATGTCAAGCAAATTAAATAGGGTATCTTTTAACAAAAACACATATATAAAATTATGAATTGATCAACTGGTAAAAATACTTAGGGGTTCACAGTAAACCAAGTTCATGCGTAGGGATAGGGAACATCTGGCCTTGAAGACATATAAAGCATGTGAATTCATTTAGTATTTAGCACTGATGAGACAAACACAGATTCTTCCCATTTGCTAACTGTAGCCATTTACCTATGGTGATAATTTCTATCCCTCCAGAATGTTACAAAAATATCCAAATAGGCTCATCCGTCCCCAGGACCGGGACCGACAGGGCCCAGGAGCCTCCCTCCTGCGCCCTGGAGCCCGAGCACGTCCAGCGGCTTCTGCTGTCCTTCCCGCGAGGCCAAGAAGTCAGCCTACTGTCCCTACAGCCACTTCCCTGTGGGGGCCGCCCTGCTCACCCGCGATGGGAGGGTCTTCTCTGGATGCAACATAGAAAATGCTTGCTACCCTCTGAGCTTGTGTGCTGAGCGGACTGCCATCCAGAAGGCCATCTCAGAAGGGCACAAGGATTTCAGGGCCATAGCTATCTCCAGTGACCTGCAAGATGACTTCATCTCACCATGTGGAGGCTGTAGGCAAGTCATGAGAGAGTTTGGCAGTGACTGGGCCGTGTACATGACCAAGCCGGATGGTACCTATGTTGTTGTCAGGACAGTTCAGGAGCTGCTGCCAGCCTCTTTCGGGCCAGAAGACCTGCAGAAGACCCACTGATGGATGGCCAGAGAACACCCACTGCCCTGGAGAGCCTGGGTTCTCCCAAGGCCTAGAAGAGATAGCCCTCAGAAACATCATAAAGCCTGGGGTCATCTGACAAATGCAATTCAACCCTCCAAAGGCTGGGAGGTAACTTTTCCAGATGACACTCAAGCACCATGGATTTCACCAAGCCTGACCCGGAGCCCCTCCTCCAAATCCCTGCACCCTGGGAACCCAGACCACTGCAACCATCTTTAAAATACCAAGCCTGGCCTGCTTTCCCACCAGCCTCCCTGAGCTTTTGTCTTGTTCTGATCGTAAACATCATAGAGCATTCTGATTCAGAAGAATAGGCTTTCCTCATCTCTATTGCTGCTAGCAGCTTTTAAGAGGGGCAGACAAGGTAGAAAGAGCTTGGCAAGTTCTGCTGGAAGACAAGACACCTCAGAACCAGGTGCCTTCTGGGTGGAGTCTGAGTCTGTGTGCTTCTTGTCCCTGTGTTCCCAGATGGGAGACCTGTAGGCTGGGCTGACTGGTGGTTCCCATCCCTATATAATTGACATCTGGGATGGCCCTCCAAGGCTCATGTGTTAAAAGCTTGGCACCAGCTTGTTGAACTATTGGGAGGTGGTGGACCTTTAAGAGGTGAGGCCTAGTGGGAGGAAGAGAGCTCCTCGGGGGCATGTCCTTCCAAGTCATGAGATGAGCATGTTTTTCCTCTTGCCAGAAGTTGTGCTGCCTCTCCAGCCAGAGGCCTCAAGAGCAGTGGGTCCACCCAACCATGGCCAAAATAAACCTTTTCTTGTTATTAAAAAAAAATATATCCAAATAGCCTTTGGCAGAGAAAAGGTTTCCATCTTTGCCTAGAGGCATGGCTCAGCATTTAATTCAGTGTTCTTGACATCTTTAGATAGTACGCAATTACTACAAATAAAGACGGCATATTGAAAATGCAAGGAATGAGCTAGGAAATTGGGAAAAATCATACAACATGAATGTTAAAGAAAACCAAACTAAGTATCTTTGAATAGATATACTCTATTTTTATGCAAGAAAATCTAATAACAGTTAGGATAAGAACGTTAAGAATATCCTAAAGCTCAACTGTGCTGGCCATTGAGCCAGAAAAGGAAACCAGAAAGAAAATAAAACAAAACAAAAAAAAGTAGCTAATTTTTTCTTCTTTTTCCAGCGCTGAGGACCAAACTCAGTGGCAGTGGCGCTGTGGCTCAAGCTGAAGAGCATAGGGACAGCACCCAAGCCCAGAGCTCAACCCCACGACTAACCAAAACAAAACAAAACAAAAAACAGTAGCTAATTCCTGCTATCTACAAACTGATATGAAGCTCTGAAGGATCTTGATTTGAGCTTGGCCAAGACAAAAAGTTTAGGCTGAGAATGGTATGAGGCTTGCCCTAGGCAAAAGTGTGAGACGCAACAGGACAGAGGTAAAATGCCTCTTCAGCTCCACCAAAAGGGAAAGGAGCAGGGGAAGGGGAAGGGGAAAAGCAAACTAGTCGTGATAATTTCACTTAGTATTTCTTGTGATGATATTTTAAATGCTCACACAGTCCTTTCAAATATGCAATAGGACTCCAATGTCTAAACAGCCATTGGCATTTTAAACAGTTTCAAAAAGCAAATGTTTCCAAATATCCAATATCCAAGCTAAGAACTTGGTAATCTAAATCCTTATTCAAACCAAGAAATGCTTGCACTCTACAATAAGGCACTTTAACGTTATATCTGACAGCATTAAAAGATTTGCTAATGTCTCTTCAAGAGACATCCTAAGGTTCTATTTTTTTAAACCTTCTGAAACTGAAATCAATTCTACTACAATAAGCACCTATTGAGAAGGCAGGTGGCCAAGGAAAGACAGAGGATTCAGTTCAGTAGGACTGTTCCCTGCCCTCCATGATCTCCCAGAACAGTGCCTGCCTAAGCCTCCTCCCCCATTAACCCAATGAAGTTTTTGTATAGTCTGCGTTCATACTCATGTCCTCCAAGAGTTCATTCTCAAAGACCTCATTTGGCTCTCTTCAGATACCAACCTCTAGACTTTAATCTCTTTTGCCACTTACTACCAGACACCTATAGACTGCTCTGGAGATACCTATCTCTTTACTGTATATACAATCTTAATCATTCAACAAGTGGGCTTACTTAAGCGCTAGATCTTTATAAACTTTTTCAAAGCCCCCCTTCAAGAAATTAGTAAAATCATCTTCCAGATGCTTTTTCCTCCTTTCTTTACTCCATAAACCTAATTTTAAGACAAGTCAAATTTAAAGTCAGATTCAGAAGTTCTCAAATCAAGAACCTGGAAAAGTAGAGCAAGGTGATTAAGCATTTGCAGATACAGGAACCCCCCAAATCCCAGATCCATCCCTTAACTAATCTTGGGCCAATTCTTATACAAATTTTAGTTTCTCCAATTAAAAAAGAGACTATTACTATCCACTTTACCCATTGTAAGGATAAAGTGTATTAAGCAGAAATATACAGAGTTAAAGTATTTCTTTAGCCTTTGATTCTTTGCAATACTTTAATTCCTCTGGTGGTGAAGTATATGAAAATAAAAGTTACCTCAACATACTCAATATTCAACATTAATATTTAATACTAATATTACAGAGTTCATCCACATTAAGTCTTTACACACTGTTATCTACAGAACCAATGGCTTAGTAACTATCACTTTATTTGTATTCTTTTAGTGTTGGGTACATGTTGAAGGAGTAAAGATCTTTTGAGTTAAAAGAAACTAATCTATATTAGTATGCAGTTTTCCTAGGAAAAAAGTCAGAGTAAAGTTATGGAAGTGTTTCAAGTTTGGAACTGTTATACAGTAACTTCCCAAAGAAAGATGGGTGGCAGTGGCTGACATCTGTAATACCTAACTACTCAGGCGGCTGAAACCTGGACAGTCATAGTTCAATAGCAGGCCAGGCAGAAAAGTCCTCATTTCTATCTCCAATCAACCAGCAAAAAGCAAGAATACAGGCATGGCTCAAGTGGTAAAGCACCAGTTGAGCAAACAAGCCAAACTAGCATGAAGCCCTGGACTTAAGCCTCTGTACTGGGAAGGGAGGAGGAAAAATGGTATACTTCATTTTTTCTCTTAAGGGTTATTTTAATTATTATTATTGTTATTTTTTTTTATTTTGTCAGTAATGGGGCTTGAACTCTGGGCCTGAGCGCTGTCCCTCAGGGGTGAGTCACCAGCGCCCGGCTAGCATCAATTATTTTAAAATAATTTTTCCCAAAATTAAGGCAAGTAAGCATCAGAAACTGTCCCAGACATTAGGATGGAATTCTGAGTCTTGGAATTTTTTTTTCTTTACAGTCCTCCATTTTTCCTAAATCTCAACATCCCACCACCAAAAAACACTGAATACAACATTAAGGAAAAAGAACTCAGTAACCACTTCACCAAATTGGGGTTATGATTCACTCCCACATAAAGACTTTTTTAAAAATAAAAATGTTAAGCCGGGAGTCTGTAGCTCACACCTGTAATCTTAGTTACTCAGGAGGCTGAAATCTCAGGATTGCAGTTCAAAGCCAGCCTGGGAGGGCAAGTCCATGAAGCTCTTATTTCCAATAAACCACCAGAAAATCAGAAGTGGGGCTGTGGCTCAAAAGGTAGAGCGTTTGCCTTGAGGTGAAGAGCTAAGGAAAAGTGCCCAGGCCCAGAGTTCCAACCCCAAGAACAATAAAAAATAAATGGATAAAAATAAAAACTTTTAAAAATACATTTTTAAGCCAGATGCTGGTGGCTCACACCTGTAATCCTAGCTACTCAGGAGACTGAGATCTGAAGATCACATGTGGCTCAAAGCCAACCCAGACAGGAAAGTCCATGAGACTCTTATCTCCAATAAAAACCACTAGAAAACCGGAAGTGTCCCTGTGGTAGAGTGCTCTTGAGCTGAAGAGCGCAGGGACAGTGCTCAGGCCCAGAGATCAAGCCCCACGACTGACCAAAAAAAAAATACATTTTTATAATGCTTAAGGATTTTTTTGTATTTCAATATCATTTGTTGTGAAAATACGGTACAGAGGAGTTACAATTACATGAGCAAGGTAATGAGTACATTTCTTATCAAGCATTGTTGCCTCCTCCTTTGTTTCCCCTTCCCATCCCTTCC